CTATCAAGTTGACTTTGACTTATGGTTCCCCATGTGTGTCAGAGTAGTATTGTGCTTTCAATGGTTTTCAGTGGCTGATTTTTCATAAGTATACTGCCAGGCTTTTCTTCCAAGTTACCTCTGAGTGGACTTGAACCTTCAACCTTTTGGTTAGCAGCCGGCCATGTTAACTATTTGTACCACCCAGGGCCTCCTTCCCCTTTGGCAAAGTTATTCACACGTGTTTCCATTCTTAACTGGTCTCCTTGCCTTCATTTCTTTCAACTCAGCTACTATATTCATCTTTTTAAATACCAATCGGACCATTCCATTCCTCTTAGCAAAATTATGCATGATTCTTCATAACCTATAGAATCAAGTCCACATTTCTTGATCTCAAAGCCTACTTTGGATTCTTAAGACAATAAGCCATCAACAACCACAGGCCCCATTCGACAGAGATGTGCATTTCCCCACATTTCTTAGATTGAATAGTAAGAAAATATTACACTGAATGGTTTAGTCCTCTTTGGAATTTCTCAGAGAAGTAGAGTTGTTATTATTATATAAATCACTGGTTGTGTTTTCGTTTTGGGGGGGAGGATAGAGAACAGAATTGAATAAGTGCCTGTTAATGCTATGTATCTATCAGTACTTGAATTAACAAGCCATTTGGAAGATCAGTCCTTTACATATCTCATACAAACGGATTTAAAATCTTGAGTTATACATATCTAGATTACATCTAGTGTTTAATCAATTGGACACTTACAAATACTGGGTAAATGATTTGTTGTCATACAGAGCTGAGCTCTGCCTTTCATGCAGTGGGAATAACATTTTTATTTTAATACTTATGCAGTTGATTGTAAACTTTGGGGTGATATAATTTAAATGGATCTAAACAGTCCATTAGCTATGTCAGTGCCTACTCTCTTGCCAAGCCATAGCTTTATGCTAAGCTGTTGTGTACTGTGTTACATAATTCCCTACATTCATTTTGTCCACCTATTTAGTTTCAGTACATGCAAGGTGACTGTATTGTCCCTTCAACCTCCTTCTTAGTATAAACCCAAGTCTGTAAGATAGATTTTGGGCAATATTGCATTTTTCTAATGGAGGTTTTGGAGAATTGAATGGGCTTAGAAATGTGTGTTTGTCACTTTTTGATTTTGCCCCTTTTGATTACATTCACTGTCAATTCAGTATGGTTTTCTAGGTGATAAGAAAGTGCTCGAGTCTCAGATACTGGAAGGAAAGTAAGATAGGATGAGGTCTTAGAAGAAAAATGTCAGTTGTTGGAGTACACAAAGGAACAATTTTTCACTGTCCTCACTCTTTCTCCTTTTTAGCCCCTTATCTGCATTTTTTAAAGACTAAGTCGGATTCCCTGCTCTTGGCTGCTAACTAAAAGATTGGTGGTTCTAGTCCATTCAGAGGTGCCTTGGAAGAAAGCCTTGGAAATCTACTTCTGAAAGATCACAGCCATTGAAAACCCTATGAAGTGTAGTTCTACTCTGAAACACATGGAGTCGCCATAAGTTGGAATCGACTCTATGGAAACTGGTTAAAGACAAGTTCACACATTGCCAATGCCCCCCATCCCCAGTCAGGAGGAAATTATGCCATGAATTGAAAATAAAATAATTTTGCTTATCTAGAATATGTTTCTGAGAGGCACTTTCACTTGTCTGTTGCTGGTTGACACAGGAAGGAGATAGGCAGCAGTTGGGGTGATGCTGCCCTTGGTAATCTCCTCTGGCCCAGGGAGAAGATTCACTGAATGGAGACTGCAAAGATTGTGAACTGTTGCAGCAGTTTTTATTAGATACTTGCAAAGGAAGGTACTTGGATACACAAAATCTTCCCTGGTATATTTGCATGAAGATTAGTGTAAATATGCATGCTATTTACATAGACAATTTAAATTTTTTTTCCTCACATTGGTTATATTTCTTATTTATTTATTGTGGCAGTCTCTTCTTTTCACCAATGTCATTTTTTCTCTGGCTTTCCACACAAAAGAAGTTCTTTTGTTTTAAACATCCAGATTCCAGGGAAAATTTCCTTTGGTGAGCAAGAGTAATGTACATAAGGCACGGGGGATTAAGTTCCTGGGTCGATTTAGCCAAGGATTGGAATAGTCTATAAGTCAATGCATGGCTCTAAAGAATTATTTGTGGGCTTTGAGAAGTAGAGCAGGAGCATGTGGTATGTCCAGAGTGCTAGGCACAGGGCACCAGTACCAGTTGTCATTGAGTCTGACTCATGGAGACCTCATGTGTGTCAGAGTAGAGCTATGCTCCATAGGGTTTTCAGTGGCTGATTTATTGGAAGTAGATCAACAAGTCTGTCTTCTGAGGTGCCTCTGGGGAAACTTGTACCTCCAACCTTCTGTTAGAAGCCAAATGTGTTAAAGGTTTTCACCACCCAGGGTCTCCAGGAAAGGGAATGGTAACTGATACATAGGAGAAAGTCCAAAGATCCCTCCGCAGAGTTACAAACAACTATGTGGTCTTGGGTAAGTCATGTATCAACCGCAGGCCTCAGTTTCTTCTTGATAAAATAAGGGCATTGAACTAGGCAATCTTTAAAATTTCTTATAGCTCTAGAATGTGTTAGTTTGGCAGACTCCTTGATCTAATTATATGAAAAATACTGAGTACCACATAGAACATTAAATAATATCATAGTGGCTTGCTATTCTATGTCACACTTTCCCCTTTTGAAGGGTACTTGATGATTAATTAAAACTTCTCTTAAGAGGCACTCTTTTCCTTGCTCATTTATCTCAGTTGAGTGGGCACACAAGGTGTAACTTAAATGTTTATAGAAGACACCTATTACTACACCGCACGTGGCACCAAGGACACACACAGCATTTGGCTCTGTGCACATCCTGGTCTGTGGGAAAGAGCTTAGTTGTAATAACTGCATTCAATTTGTCATCTTCTACTCTAGATCAGGCTCACCTCCAGATCTACAGAGCAGGAGCTTGTCCAGTTGCATTTTAACAAAGTAATTTCTTCAGAAATGAATGGAGAGATTGTGGCAATAGTGCACTAGGGAGTTGGTTGCATCTCTTTCAAACATGCAGACGGTATCGAATTTCTGCTCTGTGGTATTTTTTGACTATTTTTGGTAAAATGCAACAGGCATGAGTTATGTTCTGGATGGTATTTGGTACTTATATATGGGTAAGCTACACTGTGGCCACTTATAGGTAGACAGGTCCCTTTTAACTGTGTGTGTGTGTGCAAACAGAAATGTGCATTCATAGGTAGACACATATCATCAAGGCCCTCTAGAATACATGGGAGAAACTCGTTTTCTTCTTTAACTCTCTGGAGTGTGAAGTTGAGGTTCGTGTTTTAATGATGTTATAGTGCTATGATTAATTTAACAGTATGTAGTGAGTGGTCATCTCTCCACATTATGACAGAGACTCCTTTATATGTCTTATCTCATGATGAGAGAATATTTTATTTCACTTAAGTGATTCCTAGAGCTGTGATGGGTAGTAAGGAACTGAGTTGAAGTAGACTTGGCTTTGGTTAATAAGACAAGAGTGTATTTCTGGCAGGGAAAATAGACTTCTCTCAACCTCATTTTGTAGCCCTCAATCTTTAGAGGGAAAATGTGTATCTAAACTTGTATTGTTGGTAATTTTCTTTCATTAATAAGGTGCTTTTGATGGGTTTTGACCAACTCTGACATGAAATTGGTTGGTCTAAGTCAGACTGTCTGGCAGGAGGACAAATGGACGCCCACATGCATGGTGTATGTCAGAATTATAAATCAAATCAACAAATGATTAAATAAAATATATTCTATAATCTTAACTTGGCCAATATATTTCATAACTACTTGGAAAGTCAGGTTAAAACTTAGAATTTTTGGAGTCTTAGGAGTTCTGCATTGGAAATTGCAGCACAAGCAGAAACAGCTCCCTGGTCCTTAGCTTATAGCTTGCCCCCCTTCTCTTCCCACCTTTGACTCCATCATATATCATAAGGGGCCTTGTGTAAATGCATATGAGTACACCATATCTCACATGGCCAACTCCGTCCACACCCCTGAAAACAGCCCCCTCTGGCTTCCTCTTGGGTTTCAGCAGGATATGCGTATGAACAGCTGGCTTGTCTTCAGAAAGGCCCAGAGAAGAGGCACAGAAAAGCCAGGGACACAGTCTTGGGTATCTTTGGACAGGGAATTATAGGGCCCCAGAATCTGGAATATGGTCTTGAAGGGGAGTATCGGCTCCAGGTGGGCTGCCATCTTGGTTCTGTGGACCCCTAGTCCTATGGGGAGGAATGTGGTCACAGGCGGGTCAGACTAGGGTCATCTAATTCTAGGGACCTAGAGCAGAGACTTCTTTTGCTTGAGTCTAAGGGTAGTATTGTTGTGTGGTCAAAACACACTACCAAATTTCATTCTGTTCCCCTTCCTCACCTGCTTGATCATCTTCTCAGGTCCAACTTCCTGTTTAATAACCCACTCATGTTCCACTGGGCTCAGGACTCTACCAGGGAAACTAAAGTTAGCCGTGTTAGTGATGGATGGAAATCAGAGCCAAATCTTTCAGGGTAATTGATTTTTAGTTATTGGTCAATAAAAAGTACCTAGAGCTAAGGAGCCCTTTGTAGACCAGTTAATTATCCATTCCAAACCGGCTCTTCTATAAGCATTTAAAAGCCGTAACTGAAGCTAAAGCAATGCAAACCTCACTTCAACATTTTTCGTAAAATTTCCCTTAAGATTTTTCTCTGAGGAAATTTGAAGGAAAGGTAGCAAGCTCTACTGCGCAATCTTGTTTGTCTTCCATCCTTATGCAGACATATAGCTTCTCTGCAGTCCCCTTCTCTGCCAGTCTCCCCTGGTATTTCAATATAAGCTGGTGGAAGAGTTGGAGAGAGTGTGGCAGGGGCAGTGCCCTTGGGGCATGTTCTCTTGGTATTTACATGGATCTGACTCATGGCAGCCACATGTTAACTACTTTTCTCTTTCTTTTTCTCCTACAGCTCGAGAGGAGAACGTGGCCACTTTCCGGGGCTCAGAGTACCTGTGCTATGACCTGTCTCAGAACCCGATCCAGAGCAGCAGTGATGAGATCACCCTCTCCTTTAAGACCTGGCAGCGTAATGGGCTCATCCTGCACACGGGCAAGTCAGCTGACTATGTCAACCTGGCTCTGAAGGATGGTGCGGTCTCCTTGGTCATTAATCTGGGGTCCGGGGCCTTTGAGGCCATTGTGGAGCCCGTGAATGGCAAATTCAACGACAACGCCTGGCACGATGTCAAAGTGACACGCAACCTCCGGCAGGTAATGGTTGAGGGGAGAGAGTGCCGGGAAGGCACTTCTTAGGTAGCTGGGCAGGAAGTGTATGGAGCGGTTGATGGGTGAGGTGAAGAGGATAGAAATGAGGGTTTGGATATGTCAAAGTCTAACTTTCTCCCAGTCTTTGCAATTTCACAAGGACAATTATTAAAATATGTTTCTCCTCATACTTCAATTCTCCATTTTATGCTTATTATTTAAGAAAAAATTCAATTGTGTAGATGATAAAAGTTATGAGTACTTTCATCCCTTTTATTCTGCTTTCCTTTTTATCATTTGCTTAATTACATTTGAATCTTATCATATTATTATTAAATTCAGTTAGGAACAAAGTTCTGTTTCTGCAGCTTGGTAGATTTTCCTTATTCTTTGAATATATGTTTTTCTTTTTAATTAAGTTAGCCATTGCCACGATGCCATAATTTTAATTCCTTCCAGAAAAATCTTCCTTTCTCTCTTACTTTTTCGTTTACCACTACCCGCCCCCCCCCCACACTTTTTTTTCCTCTTGTTATTTTAACCTCTAACCTTGGAATTAATGAGCTGGAATCTTTCTGAATTCCTCTGTTTCTCTGTTCCTTGGTGCTGTGGTCTTACTTTATTACCGCTGTTTCTACCTCCGAAACTCTTCAGTTGACTGGGAGGCCTGGAAAGTGGAAGGACCCAAATAAAAAGTCAACTTTGGAGCAGCCTTTCCTGGTTCTGTCCGTGCTTGAGAACTTCCATCGCTTGCCGATTCTAAGCAGGCAACTCTGTCAGGTGACAACGTTCTCAGAGAGCCTTAGCCAACTTGTTTTCAACGTAGTAACTAATAATAACAATAATATTTCACCAGCCCACATCAGTAAATGGAAATAATTTTCTACAAAAGTCAAGGTCTGTGCTGAGATTGCCTTTTCCAGGATGCCATTTCCACTTGGTTTGTCTACTCGTGAATTTGTCCTTAAACCCCGTTGGACAACGTTCATCCTTTATTAATCAGAAAACAGGATGTAAATTTCCAGGAAGTGCTTATCAAATGTTCTTCCGTGATGTGATTGATTTAATGTTTCGCAGGGTAAACATGAAAACACAGGAACTGACAGGTGTTTGCATATGTTTTCTGTTTGATAAAAGCATGACTCCTTAGTAATGCTAAACACAAACGGCATAGGCCGGCACGCATTGAAAACAGACAATCGTTGCCACACACATTTCCATGCTGAAGTATGCTGAAGAAGCCACCTGGCTGGGAGAATCTATTCTATCTGTGCTGAAGATAACACAAATAGCAAATAACACAAGACCTAGAGTCCCCGATCATCTTAACACACATGGATTGGGCATGTTGGAATCACTGTTCTTTATTTTTCCTCCAAAGCCAAAGAACCCTATTGCTGGTGTTTTTTTGTTTTTTTACCACCCCTCCCCTGCTTCCATACACACCCAAGAGAACCCACAACAGAGTTTCATTTCCTAACATATAAGGGCTTGATATGTTTGAACTGCAGAGACTAGACCAAATAGTGGAAATGTGACCTTTTGCTAGTTTTGACAGGCAGGTACACAATAACACCCTTTAGACAGAATCAGCTCATAGTTCTCATCAACCAATCTGTTTCTCCAACTCTCCTACCTTACACACTTTCTTGCCATACTGGAATGATTCCAGTTACTAGCCTGAGCAAGGCTCACTTTTATTTCTATTAAAAAGCAATTTTCTAAAATAAAATCAGGCCCCAATTAAGTCCTTTGTACTGAGAAGGAATAAACGAAACTGTACCTCAGATAGTAGTGGTGGTGTTTTAGGCAGACCAACCAGAGAAAAGCCAGGCTGAGAGGTTTCTCTTCCTAGTTCTAAAGCCCAACTCCTCATTGTGCCCTTGGACAAGCCATTTAACCTTTCTATACCAGTTTCCATTTGTGAAATGGTGATTACAATCCTCCCCAGCCATGTGTAGTGGCTAAATATGCAAAGCACCTTATGTTCCAGAAGGATTATGAGCTCATCCATGGTCTGGGTGCTAGACTCTGGGACATGCACATGATTTACAAGGCCAACATTCCCTCTCAAAGGTGACTATGTCTGTCTGGTGCCAAGGAGGCAGTTAAGCAGAGCTCTCAGTTCCAGACAAGGCTACAGTAGCCCTAGGGTGTGAGGATCTTTCTTTGCAGAGGAGCATTAACTTCTAGTGGGAAAGCGCACCTAAATTGGGCCTCATCGAACTTTCTTTCATGTGTGCAGCCAAATGGAATTTACTGAAAGACGTGGAAGTATCTGAAAAGCAGAGCTGATTTTTCAACTGCAATCTTTTCAACACTGAATCATCTAAGATTATTATTTTTCCCATTAAACACACATTTATAGCATCTTTTTGAGTTCTCTAGGATACATTTGAAGGGGTGGGAGGCCCCTGTCTCTCTGAATTAACCTATAAAATAGATTTATGAACATTTGCAATCCAGTTGAAGGTGGTCTTATCCACCTGTTGTATAAGGTTGAAGGACTTCTGTGGCAGACCATTTATCTGAAGAAAGCTTACCTGGGGTTTCATGGTGTATTCATCGGCAAATGGAGCAGAATTCTCCCCATTTTTTCCTCTATGGTCATCAACTCATGTTTCTGCCTTTGAGCCAAGTCAGGGCCAAAGGCAGGTACTGTATTCAGGGCTTCTGATTGAAGGAAGCGATGCAAATTATCTGTTCCAAATTATAACTGGGACTAGGGACCATGGTAGGAGATATTTTTCTTTTATTAAGGGAGTCCATGACCCTGCCTGAACCTAAGGTCATGGCCATCACATAAATTGCGTTCCTTCTAGATGCCATTTTGTCAAACAACACACAGAACACTGGGATTACCAGCCTTCCAGCCTCCCAGCTCAGGGTGTGTTGGCATTATTAAGTATTGGAAACAAGCAATGAGGAGACTAATTGTAGGGGTTCTCATATCATGTTGAACCTGCCAGTCCTCCCTGCTATCTATCTAGGATACTGCTTAAAAGTGTGAAAAGCACTGTTAAAGGGGAATAAGAGGAGAAAGATTCCAACAGGAAGCATTCTGGGAAAGTTACAGAATACTAACCTCATTTGGGTAAAAAAGCCTAAGACTCCCACCTTTTTAATACATTCTGATGACATGGGTGTTCTAAACTGAGAGGAAAGGAAAGAAGAGAATGTCCCCTCTTCTTCTCCCCACACACATCTACAAAAATCCAGAGGGTACAAAGATCTTTAAATTACCCACGGAAGCCCAGAGTAAGCTACATAATGTAACCTTCCTATGCTAGGGGTGATCTGTAAATATTTTAAGTTATTTTCTTTCTGGGAGAAAGTCATGATCGTTCATCCGTGTAGTCAGAGTCAGATGTGAAAAAATATATATATACTGATATTTCAGCGCTTTCTGTTTATCTACTTGGGGAACTATAAACAGTGGAGGTCTTTTCTTTCAGGACAGGTGGAATGTCAATGTATTAGGGGGTGGGAAGGGCTGGGGGCAGCGTTCACTTGGAAGAATGGTTGAAATGTAAGTATGGTGCTAAATCTAACAGGGTGAGTTCTGGTCAGAATGGTATTTGGAAGAAGCGGGGAGTTGTGATGACAAGGTGAAATGCAGCCCCTTCCCCTGAGGTGCCCTGGGTGGCAAGGTTTTCCATAGAGTCCTGGTCTCATTGTCTTCCCCCACTCTCTTTTTCTGTGTTGGGTGCCTTTTTTTGAAAAACTAACACAAGATCATTCATGCAATGTGTCATTTTACTAACCGACTAATGTACTAACACCCTAACGACTCATCTTTGTTTTTAGTTTTTTTAATTAACAATCGTTCTGTTCACAATTTTTTAATTTCCTTTCTTCCCCCTTTTCCGCAAAGCACTCAGGCATTGGACACGCTATGGTAAACAAACTACATTGTCTGGTAGATATCATTCTTATTGTCTCTTTTTTTGGGTTTGCCGTGTGTTGCCCCCCTTTTCCTCCCTGACCCCCCTTTTATCCTCTTTAAACTTGTTTCTTCTTCTTTTTAAATTTTTGTTGAACTAAGTGAAAGCCTTTCTTTTTCTTAAAAAGAAAAAAAAAAGGAAGGAGACGGACCTGTCCTGGAAATGAGATTCGGTTGAGATTGCTGGGGATGGTTTCCTTTTCTCCAATTTTTAATTTTTTTCCCTAAAAATTTTTTTTAAAGAAATTTCTCTGTTTAGCTAAATTTATTTTGTTTTGTGTTCTTATTTTGCAACTTTCAAGTTACAGACTAGGGACCGCAGAGATTTATAGCGAAGGCTTTCTTCCCTCTGTCTCTTCCTATCCTTATTGCTCTTCCTGCTTTCTTTTTCCTCCTCCCCACTACTTAACCCCCTGTCTCTTTCCCATTCGTGTGGCCACACTGCCACAGGTAATCTGGGGAGGAAAGTACCTCCTAGACTCTTTCTTTCCCTTCTTTTACCTCACACCCCCACTGTGGCCAAAGGGAGCTCCGCCAATTGTGTTCTCCATACAACTCTGCATGGCATGTTCCTGTCTCGTCTCTGTCTCGTGGACTTCCCCATTGGCATCAGCATCCATTCCCTCATTCCCCTCCTCATTACTAACAACCTGCCAACCGTCAATCCAATTCCACTTTCTTCTCTTTCTTTTCCTCACTCTTCTGTTTCATTCTCCTACCATCCTTCATCTATTTTGTGGTTGGGTTTGGCCTTTTTTTTTTTCTTTTTTTTTTCCAAGTGAGGCAGGTGGCAGGCAGGGAAAAGACTACCCTTTAGTTTTGAGTGTTTTATTTTTTCCCCACTTCCATCTTGTTCTTTAGTTTATTCAGTGCATGTAAGTGTGAAGTGGATTTTGATTCCTTCCTTTATTTCTTTATGTCTCCTTGCCTTTTCCTATTCCCCCACCTTTTTTCTTCTGCCTTCTCTCTTGGCTCCTGATCATTTTCGCATGGGTGTGTCAGCGTATGTAGTGTGTGCACGCTTTGCGGCCCATCTTCTCTCTCTGCCCTCTGCTCTTCTCGTGGATGTTGGGTGTATGGGTGCTATTTCTTCCCTGTGGGCATTATTATTCTCATTATTTTGGTTATTATGTCTCATCATTCCTTTCTTTATGTTAGAGTTGCCTTTTTGGTTTGGGTTCTTTCTTCTCTTGGTGGTGGTGATGGCAGCGAAGGGAGGGCAGGGTTGGTGTCCTGGGGTTTTCCATGGCATGTATCATTTATGACACATCAAAAGTGAGGCCCTTCTCCTTCCCTCCCTGAATGCATGTTTGTCAGTGTGATGTGAGACAACAAAGAAAGAAATAAAAAAAGAAAAAAGGAAAAAAAAAAACCATTCACAGCCAAAGACCAACCCCCAACAAACCCCATTGTCAAATGTCTCCTTTGCTGTTTTGCACTACCACCATAAATAACAATCATTTAAGAAATAAATGATCATTTTACCAATGAACTGAGACAAGTGATATCGTCTGAGGATGGTTCCATTTTCTAGCCTGGCTCAATAAACAGTACAATGGGTAGAACTAAGTACTCAGCTTGGCAATTCCAACAAATTCTCCCATGAATCTGCAGGGGAATACTGGAGGCATGGGTCACAAGGAAGGCAGACCAGAAAATGGAACTTGGCTGCATATAACAAAATCAAACCAAATTAGAAAGAATACCTCACCAAAACCTTAATGAAAGTGATGCTTCAGGTAGGGGAATCCACCAGATTTTGATAGGACTATAAGTTCATTGCTGGGATTTTTTTTTGTCCCTATGTCCCTCTACCAGGTGACAATCTCTGTGGATGGCATTCTTACCACGACGGGCTACACTCAAGAGGACTACACCATGCTGGGCTCGGATGACTTCTTCTACGTGGGAGGAAGCCCAAGCACTGCTGACCTGCCAGGCTCACCCGTCAGCAACAACTTCATGGGCTGCCTTAAAGAGGTAAAGTTCACAGAATGCTGTTTAATGCACCATGTGACTATTTAAGAACAAATAAGATGTCTGGGTCAGTGACAGGATCTGTCCCCTGATCTCTTTTATGAGGCCATATGTTGTAGCAGAAAAAGACTTTGCATTTGGAAGTAGATGTCTTAGGTTTTTGTCCCAGCTTAAAGGGGTGTGTGACCCTGGGTCTGCCACGTAAGTACTCTATGACTCAGTTCCCCCATCTAACTAATGGATAATCTTATCTCACAGGTAGGTGTGCGTTATACAGTAATTCAGATGAAAGTCCTTTTGAAATCACAAGGAACTAGATGTATGTAAAGTTTAATTTGGTGCCTTTACTTGGCAAGTAGGGAAGCTTTAGCTAAAGTGGCTTAATTTGTGGTTGTGTGTCTTGTCTAAAATACAACATATGTATTATTTTACCTTTGCCAAGTCTGTTGTTCCCAAGAGTCTCATTATTTGAAGTGAAGAAGGAAAATTCTCAGAATGTAATATTGAAGTCCAGAAGACTAGTTTTTCCTTTCCCTGAAAGCCAGTAGCTGTGAGAAAGCAGCGGAGCTTTGCCATTCCTCATTTATTACCACTGTGGCTGATATGTTGAGACCTCTGTCTACGAGCAAGGGAGCTTCAGTCAAGTGTAAGTTCAATCTCTAAGGTCAATTGTGGAGGCAGAAGAATCAGGCTTGATTTGGTAGAATTCTTTCCAAACACTCTGTCATCAGAACAGTACACTGCACATTTTGTTTAATCTAAGCTAAGCTTGACTGCCTAAGATATCTATACCATTTCCCTGAGGAAATTCCTTGAGAAGCCAGCAGTGTCCCTTCTTGCAGATAAAAATCTCTTGTGACATCTTATAAGCCTTCTCTCAGGGCATGTTTTATTCTTATTATAGTTATTTGCAATGTGCTGAACACCAATTATACATAAGATGGCATTGCACATGCATTCATTCATACCACTTGACTGTAAGCCTTGTCAAGACAGGGATTGTGTCTGTTATGCCTTGCATATATCTGTTGCCATCGAGTCAATTCCGACTCATAGCGACCCTATAGGACATAGGGTTTCAAGGAGCCGCTGGTGGTTTCAAACTGCTGACCTTTTGGTTAGCAGCCAAGTTCTTAACCACTATACCACCAGGGCTCCAACTGAGTAAAGGAAATAGATAAATTTTTGGTGGAAGTCCGTTTCGCAAAAGTAGTGACATTTGATCTGGGTCTGTTGCAATAAACCATGTGTGAATTTAGAGGAAGGGGTAGAAAGGAGAGACAAGACAAAGCAAGGAAAAATCGAATTACAGCTTTGTATTGTTCTCGGTGTGAAGGACAAATTACAGAAAAGAGTGCTTTTCTCTCTCTGGTGGACATTACCTAGATCTGCTGGCTTTAGGAACACCACTGTCATTCCAGACAGGATTGTGGCAGACATAGAGCACCTCTTCCCAGGGATTTACTCCCACTTGCATACAATAAAGGCGCAAACTGCTCACTGTCTAATGAACCCTGAAAAACTCTTAAACACTGTTAAATCACACTAAGTTGGAATTGCTCTCTCATCAGAAATAGAAAGGAACATTACTATTACTAGGTGCATCATTCATGAATAAATGAGGCCTTGATTACCATGGAGTGATCATCCATTTTTATGGTGAAACAGCCCTGGGTATAGAGTTTCCCCTAGACAAGATCTAGGGGTGGACCCTAGGACTAATTTTCACCTACAGATAATTATATTGAACCATTTCTCAATTATGTATTTTGAGACAAAGGAGCAATTTCCCAACCACAAATCTTTTCTATTAATCAAGGATGATCCTGAATGCTTTTAAAGAGGCCTCATAAATACACAAAGATCTCATGCAGAACCTAAAGTGAATGGAATACTACCCATGTGTACACGCATACAAGCATATACACGCGCACACATGCGCACACACACACTTTTACACTGCCCAGGCGGAGAGCCAGAAGCTCCAAAACTCTATGAGAAGTGTCACTTAACAACTTAAAAGTTAAAGGTAGTTCTGAAAATGTGTCAATAATAGAAATAACAGTTATTAATGTTAAAAATATGCTTATCTTAGCAGCACAAATCTGTATTTAAATCCAGATTAAGTTAGAAAAAAGAAAGTTAAAACACCGGGGGAAGTATTAGGCAAAAGTAGAAGTTTTTATCTTGCACCCTCATGTCTCCTTTGCATATAGTATTACAGTCTTTCTAAGAGACTTTGGAGGCCTTCTCATTTGTCTGAATGTTTTAATGAGATTCCTTTCTGTCTAAGGTAGTCCTGGCATATTGCTTCTTTCCATCTAATTACTTCTCTGTGAGCAGGTCTGGGAAATTCTTCTCTTGTTCTTGGTGTTTGTCTTTTACAAATTGGTAAACAAGCAAGAACTTCCAGATTCCTTGGGATTTAGCTCCTTGACAAATCCCACTTACCTACTTTGACTATTTACCCCAGGAGCAGTTTCCAGGTTTTGAAATGTCCTTCTTTCCTTCTCCATCTCTCTTTCTTCCTTTTTGTTTCTTCTCTTGCCATTTGTTGCCCTAAACGGAACTGGGTGCTTTCATATGTCATTTTCTTCAAATTTGGAACATGGCGAAGGGACTATGGGGTTTCTGTTCCAGATCATGTTGCTTCTTTTGCGTGTGACACAAAATAGGTTTTATATTTGGAGTTACAGTTACTACCCACATAAAAGCTGAAATATGGCTCTGCTATTGAGCTAGAGTGGCTATGGATTTTACCTGTGTGCACACCTCCTAACTTGATAAAAGCTACAACAAAGAGCATCCACGTTGTCATCAGACTATTGTGGTTCCGCACACACCTTAGTTATCAAGAGATTTGTATCCCTGTAAACATCATGGTCAGCTTCTTGCTCCTCTTTGTGTTTTCATGTTTTAACTTGTCTGTCTTGTATTTGTTCTTGTTGTGTCCCTAGCTCCTAGGATAGTTCTTGGCACCTAGTGGGCTCTCCAAAAACATTTTCTGAACAAAATCACATGTTTGTAAATTAAGAAATATCTTTCTTAAGATAAATGTTCTCTGTCACTATTAACTATATGACTTTCTTGGGATGACTAAAGTACATCGTGACATGGCAATAGTTGAACCTTTCAAGAAACCCCAAGCTATCTGATTTAAGAGAACTATTACAAAAAACAAACAAACAAAAAAAGCTGCAGCAAGGCTAAGAGAAATGAGTTCGTGCCTCCTCTAGGAATAATGGGATTGAAAAGGCTTTGAGAAAGGAAGCATGGTATAATGGAAAGAATCCAAAAACAAACAAACAAACAAAAAACAAACAAAAACCCAAACCCATTGTCGTCGAGTTGATTCCGACTCATAGCAACCCTTTAGGACAGAGTAGAACTGCCCCATAGAGTTTCCAAGAAGCACTTGGTGGATTTGAACTGCTAACCTTTTGGTTAGCAGCTGTAGCTCTTAACCACTATGCCACCAGGGTTTCCAGACTGGGTTTTAAATCATAAGAACTGTTTGGGAAAACCAGCTTTATCATTGTTCATATGCCTTGAGTAAGTCTCTGACCTGTATGTGTATCAGTTTCCTAACTCATTACATGGAGATAATAAAACCTTTTCTGTACAAAATAATGTACATAAAAGTGAAAACCATATAACATTATACAAAGGTGTTTTGCTATAATAATTATTATTAAGGATTACGTAATGCACCTTATAAAGCAGTTTATGAATATAAACATAAAGCATAAGCAAATATGCATTAGCACATGCATATCTCTGTATTTCCCATATTAGCATATCCCTTTCAGGGACAAAGAAACAACTTTATTCTGAGGTTTGCCCTTTTATAATTCTCTCGTCTTTGCTAAGGATGTAATTGGAAGCTACCCACTGAAGTACCTGATAACCTGTCCCCTCTGCACTCTTCTCCCTACCCCCAGTCATTACCTTATTTATTGCCTTCAGAACATGCATCTTTGTTCATTGGTTTACTTGGTAATTGTAAATCTTCCTCTGTTAAAATGTGGGCTCCATGAGAACAAATACCTTATCTGTTCACGGTGTACCCCCAGAAGCTAGAACAGTTTCCGGCACAAAAATACACTCAATAAGTGTGTCTGGAATACATAAATAAATGAATGAACTAGCCTCATGGAGCTCTGAAACCTGGTGGAATTCATCAACAAATATATACTAAAAACCTACAATATGCCAAAGACTATACTAAGGGCTCATGGTACAAAGATGAACCAGACACAGAACCTGACAGATATGGGGGAGGCAGACACACAAACATAAAGTCAGTAAGAAGCAGTGAATGGTCCAAAACGTATTTTCCGGTGCACTGGGATGGCTGAAGGAAAGTACTTAATATATCCTCAGGACTCAGAAAGTTCCAGGAGGAGATAATGCCCAAGGCAAGGCTTCAAGGACCAGTAGAAGTTAGCAGAGAAGAGTGGCTGGAATGGTGCACCAGGATGACGGAACAGCATGCGCAAAAGCATGGATAGGAAAGAACATGGTGTTTGGGTAGGGAACTTACAATCAGAGCATAAAATATAAGATTTGGAGTTGTTGGAGAAGAGGCTGCAAAGTTAAAGAGAAGCCAGGTCATAGAGAGCTTTATTTTATGCTCAACCTTTGGGCTTTTTTCTGTAGGTGATGGGGAGCCTTTGAAGGATTTTAAGCAGTGGAATGTATTGTCTGATTGGCATCTTGTCCATCAGGCCTTAATTCCTTGAGGACTGAAGGTAGTTCATCAGCTACTTGCCCCTGATGTATATTTTTGTCCTAGAAAGTGGAAGAGCAGGGATGGGAAGTGGTCCATCAACTTCAGCATTCGGTCAGGAAAGTGCTTCTCTGAATCTTAAAATTTCTACAGAAAAGCACTTGTGACTCTCATTTCAGTTTCAAATGACCCTTACTGTCAGTGCATTTCTCCTTTCCTCTGTCCTTGACGTTGCTGGGCTAATATTGTTGGATAAAGCATAATGTGATGGACG